CATGAGTACATCGGCATACCAATATCACTAAATTTTGGCTATTTTGGACAACAATGTAGATATATCTGAACAGAAACAGACCCAGGATGGAAAGACCTCTGCAAGGGTGTTAGGTCGTGCAAAGTATTCATGGCACATACCCCGGCATATTGATCACAGTGTATCAAAAATGATTCAACACACTAAGCTTAACAAATTTGACAAGAATCACTCTTAAAATATGATCACTCGATTTACGCGGCCGAACAATGTTCAACTGGTCCCAATGGTGCAGGCAGTGGGACACCGGGGACATGTGCCCCCCCCCCCCCTCTCAGGTCCCGAGTTGAGGACCCAAAGGGCCCGAGAGCTGGCCAAAGGTTGTATAAAGTCGCCCCGTCCTGCAGGGACGGGCCCTCAGGTACCAGTCAGAGGGCCCTTTGCGTCGATTAGGGGCCCCCTGAATCTGTATGTCGGCCAGGGACCACCAGTACCGAACAGTCTGCCCGCGCCGGTCTTTGCCGATTTCTAATTAGATAGAATTCCAGGACCAGCGATCAAATTGGTCGGAGTCTAGAGCCAATGAGGGGCCCCGTTATCGGCCAGGGGACGACGATCCTTAGCACGGTCCCCGTGTTGGCAAGGGGCCCGGGTCGGCCAGGGGCATTGTTTGAATTGGGTCCGAACGGCCTTGGGGACCGACGATCATGGGCCCAATTGGAGGGCTGAGGAGCCCGAAGGGTCTGAAGGCCTAGCTAAAGGTCATATTAAGGAACTCGACCTGTAGGGCCGTGACATCAAATGTGTGTCGGAGGGCCTCTTGCACGAATGAAGGACTCGCTGGAACAACGCGGACTTCGATCTCGGTCATGGACCACCAACATCGAACGGGCTGGGTCCGCGATTAGGATTGGCCGGGGCCCTTGAGACAATCAGGTGTCTCTGTGTTGGCCTGGGAGCTCGCAGTGCCTAACAGGGGCAATGTTTCGCCAAGTGGCCCCGACAAGGTCAGGCAGCGTTTGCTGAACAGGAACAGAGGTGGAACCCTGAATGCCAGAGGGTCTCCCTGCGTTGGTCGGGGTCCTCTGATAACGAAAGTGGACATGCCAGTTTATGGTGCAAATTCACAATGAGACAACGTCAGGCCCTTTGACAGTCAGGGGTCTCAGTGCCGCACGGGAGCGGGGGGGGGGGGGGAAGGTGGTCCATCCTATTTCAGCCAGGCGCCTGTTAGTCGAACTAGAGTATCTGTGCCATTTACTGGAACACCTGAAGCGGAAAGGGATCTTGTTGCATGAGTGAGGGCCCATGAGTCAATCAGGGACAACTCCCCTATCAGGGGGCCTCACCCGTCAGGGAGGGACCAATGTATGACGCCTCCCTCTAAGAGCCCCTGGATCGACCAAGCGTCGCCAGAAGGGCAGCAGGTAGGCACCCCGCGCTGCGACCGAATAGCCATTCAGCCCCTGACCGGGAACGACAATGTGCCCCCAGTGTTCTACTCACGGGGCCGCTTGCTCGAGAAAGGGTAAGTGGCCTTAACTATGTGCAATAGAGTAGATCGAAATGGGGCGAAAATGACGATAAATCAATCCGTGTTTGCTGGAGAACTCAGAATGTCTATCCTTTTGTAGAATCGACGAGTAAGGCAAGGTACATAAAGCCGCCGTCATAAAGCCGTCTTTCGGTGGTTTCTGGTTGTTGTTTCTTTAAGGAAATTCTAATGCTCCAGGCAGTTGATATTTCAGTTATTTGCCCCAGGCTCTCGTGTCTGGGAGCCCCGGTGACATTGGTTCTCTTGTCAAATCACTGGAACAAAGTAATTTGTATCTCTCTCGGTGGTTTGGCAAAAACGGAATGAAGACCAACGCACGGCAAACTCAACTCATAGTTATTGGGTCTCGTCAAAGCATTCAGCTGCTTCCCACAATCAGGATCAAATCTATGGGAGTCACTGACGCCGGTTCTCCCACTGTGCAGAATCTGGGTGCTGTATTGTACCACTGCATGGCATCCTCGGCACACGCTGACGCCGCTCTGCGACGATGTACATGCATTCTCTGTGGCCTCGGTGATAGCGGGCCAAAGCCTCATACGGTCTCCTCTGGTCACGTCAGTAGAGGGTCTCGTGGTATTACTGATCCGGTGCTGTATCACCGTTTACGTGGCGAGCAACACTAGACTAGGCCGGCTGCAGAAGCTTTTAAACCTTACAGCCAGGCTTATTTCCGGACGAAGTAGATATGACCATAAAGCGATTAACAGTCCCAGAAGTTCCCGGATCCACATCGCAGGGATCCGATGCTGCGTTCTTTTTGGGGACCTTACCACACTTCCACTTGAGTGGAAGCCAGCCTTCAAGCCTTCAGACCGAAACATCCGGAACGGGCACTTAGGCTTCCAGGTGACCGGTGTGATATGGTGCTAGCCTATGTATATATCAATCGAAACTCTCTCTAGCCACGTTATGGGACGGTCGCGAGCAGCGCAGGCGCCCGTGGCAGGAGGCGGCGCACAGCGGCGACGTCCGCCGCGAACCATCTCTGTTGCGTTAGTCCTGGTGCTGGACAGGCACGTGCCTAGTCCACGGTGTGAGCTCCTGGTCCCCACTTCATTCTTTTGAAAACGAGATCTTGGGTCCATGTGTGGAAGGGGAAAGTATAGGGACGAGAAAATATGGGTCCTATGACCGCAATGTCTGACCAGCATGATCCGATTTTTGAAGCAACTTATCATCAACAAGGTGGTGCGATTTCGGTCAGGCACTTACGCAACTTATCATGCTAACGTTTTTGCAGTTATCTGCTGGGTGACTAAGTCGTGTCATCTAATGTCAAGCTGGGTCAAACGGGCCGGTTGAGAAAATATACAAGGGATCCTTTTTTGACCTGGAAGCTTGCGATGACGTTCCTTGAAACCAAGCTGATGCGGCCTTACAAGACATATCGGATGCAGCTTTCCGCCGAGCTCTCGTCTTTCAGTTTTTGAGATAGCAGAGGGCTGAGGGCTGCTCGTCCAGTCAAAAGAAAAGGAGAGGAGTGAAAAAAGAGAAGAAGGCCGTCCGGCAAGTGGTAGAAGTTCGTCGGTGAAGGCTGCCACCCTGCAGGTCGGCTGCTGGAGCAGCGGACATCCAACTACAAGTGTAGCCACGGCTGTGCCAGGCTATAGGTGGGCTCTCGTATCAGCAGGAGACATCCGATCTCCGGCTGGTCGAGGACGGTCCACTTGCAGCAGGTCATGAAATGGTCAAACTGGCACTGGGGCGGCTCTGCATGACAGGAAAACATTTCTCGCGCCGTGTTTGGGTTAGCGGCCGAGTTGTAAACCAGCACCCTGCTGAACTGGAATCGGTCGACTGGGATGGTGCGACCGCTGCCATGGCAACCAGCTGTGCTCAGCAGGCTTCAAACACGTCCACACAAATGTCGACTGCATGTACGTTTTATAATAGGTCCAGAAAAACTGAAGTTAAGGAAGGACTTCCACTCAAGTCGATGTGATAGTGATACTGGTGGCATATGATGAAGATGATATAGGTGGTGATACGCTTAGGACCTAGCGTACCAGCAATTCAGACACTTCCTGCATTTCATTGGCCCTCTATTTTTTTACTTCTGAAATGTATTGAGGGGCTCAAGTCAACATTGAGGGGGGGGGGGGCAGGCTCCAGAAAGTATACAAAGTGACACCCATGGCTATGACGCTTTACATTCCTCCTAGTCCATGGTCTATTGGAGTGTGTGGTTACGACGGGAGTTGGCGATGGCGCGGGCCCACACAGTCATGTCCGTCCGGCACTGGCAGATGTGGTGACGTCCGTCCGTCACTGCCGGATGCGGTGGCGTCCGTCCGTCACTGCCGGATGCGGTGACTTGGCTGACTGTGGCAGCGGCCGTGCGCACCAGCATCTAGGAAACAACAAGCTTATATTTTGCCGTGGAAGGTACCGGTTCTAGCTGCCTTGTTTCAGAATTGTTCACCCTCACCGACGACAGAGTAAATCGCAAGGATGGTAATAAATGGTTGACAGGCTGAGCTGACATAAGGGTATATTTCACCACAAGCCATCTTTTAAACCGGATTAGTTTCTTTCGAGCGTGTGAATCGGCTGCGTACGAGCAGGAGAGAAGCCAAAATAAAATTTACAAATGGATTAAAGGAGGCTTGGAGCACTCTTGTGTACAAGGCAGTGTTGGAATAGGTGTCGGTGTGATTACAGGAGGGGGCGGGGGGGGGGAGGGGGAAGCTGTTTAGGCATGGCCCAACCACATCTCGTTTAAAGTTAAGCATGAACTAAACAATAACGCATGCACAACGTCAACTCAAGCAAGGGAATCGGCCGGCGCTTTTTGAGAAGTTCCAGTACTCCTGGGGTCCAGCTAGAGCATCCTAAATCAGGCCATCTTTGTGCCCTATCCTGTTCATTGCAGGTCGGATCGCATTGGCACGAACAACGTCATTTTCATGTCAGTCTGGTGTTTAACGGTTGGTATCGATGGAATGCCCACCTACGTCCTCTCGCTTCTGCGAAGGAATGTGATAACACTCGGACGCCTGGCCAACGCGGTCTAAAAGGTCAGTAGCGACCGTCTGCACTCGGTCCGTACCACCTCCGTAAAACAGCGCGGTGACACGAGCTCGGGACGGTGATCTCCGCGGCTGTCAGTGAACCTGGTCACCCCGTGGGCCGGCGGCGGGGCTGCTCGGGGGCGTGGTCGGGGCGGGCCAGGCCCTGCCCACTGTCGCCCGGCGGCCGCCGACGCCGGTCGCCATGTCCCGCCGCCCGCCGAGCGGCGTGATCACAGCCGACCGACACAATCACCGGCACGTGTCGCTCCCATTGGGCACCGTCAGGGCCATTGTCTTCGGTAGCTCGCCGCAATTGGCCGACCTGGCGGCGCGCCCGGCCTGCGATTGGCCGCCGCAGGAGTGACGTCACGGCGGTCGCCTTGGCTGCCGGTGACGACGCCGACGGGTGCCCGGCTCCGGCACGGGTGGTCAGTTACCACCCGAGGGGAGGACGGAGGGGTGTGAGACGCTGGCGGACGGGTGCGGGTCGCGAGGTTACGCTGCAACATCCGCGCCTCTCACAGCGCCCTCCGCCAGCCGCCTGCTGGTCGTGACGTCACACCGTGGGACGCGCGGCCACCTCGAAGGTAGGCCCGAGTGTGCGCATATCCTGCAGGATGTCGATACTAACGAAAACTGACGTGACCTGACGCGCCGTGTCTGAAGGATTTTACAGGTAGACCAGGAGATTGGAATTTTAAGGGGTTGAAAATTGCGAATTGACCACTTCATTATTTGATCCGGGAAATGTTTGACACTGGGTCTAGATTCGAGGAACGAATCGCAAAAATTATAAACATACGTATGTTTCTATACACCGTTTACTTGTGTTCGTCTGTCAAAATGAGTCATGTGCCGTCTGTCTTATTAGCAAGTTGAGGTTATTTATGGGACAATAATTATCTACCTATGCTCTGGTCTTAAGCCAAGATGAAACACTGGCTGGAAAATACAGCCGAGAAAAACAAAAAATAAACAATTTGGGTTTTTGCTCAAAACCCTCTCCTTATCTACAATCATCAAACAGTCTCTGCTTTGTTTGTTCCTGCTGAGCAAACGCATCGTTGCACTTTTTTCTTAATCATTTGAGTGTGTGCTTCAAAGGGCGATGCTTGGAACCATCGATGAGAAGCATCAAAAGAAGCTGTCATGGGTGTTAATTCGGTCGTTAGATCGGTCTCTAGTGGCTTGGATTGAGATGAGCGCTGCTATCAAGCAGTATTTCCAAGGTTGGCTTTTCGTCCCTTTCCTGTCTATTCCTTAAAATGAAACAGCCAGTGCTGTAACTGCACAGCCCTGCAGCCCGGCATGCCATTTACACTGCGACCGGTGCTGTAGCCTCCCACTGGGCTCGGTCAGTTCTCTGAATGGATCAACAGGTGGGAGCCGACCCCCTCGGCCGGAGCCACAGCTCGGGCGGCAGCGGGGTGGCTGTATTGTTTCAGACGTTCGCCACATTTACGCTGCGACCGGCGCTGTACCCTTCCGCTGGACTCGGTCAGTTCCCTGAATGGATGAACAGGTGGGAGCCGACCCCCTCCGCCGGCCGTTCCCTCCCCCGGAGCCGCAGCTCGGGCGGCAGCGGGGCGGCTGTATTGTTTCAGACGTTCACCACATGTGGATCGGTTAGCGGGCCGCGCCGGGCGCCGTCTGTGCCGCCGGCGGGGGCCCGGCCGGGGTGAGTGGCCAGCAGACGGATGGGAGGCGTCGGTCGCGTGTCACCCCTCTGACGGGCGCCAGACGACACTGAGCGGCCCGCGCCGGACCGCGCCGGCAGGCGGGGCCGTCAGCCGTGCCGTCGCAGCACCGCCGACCGACGGCTGCTCGCGACTGGGGCGGCCAAACGGCTGAAGACACCTGCAGGCAGGCGTCCAATGATCAGTGGACACTGGTGGACGGGAGGACAGGCGTGCAGTGGACCAGGCACGCATCAGCCGGACGCGGCGGGTGGACAAGTCCCTCCGTGTGCAGTGGACGCGGGGACGGAGAAACAAGTCACCTAGTCGGACCGACTGGGCGGGGAAGACATTTGTGCAGTAGGCACGGCGAGATAAGGAAGACAGAGTCTTCCAGTAGACTTATAACAAGGCCTGGCGGCGGAGACCAGCACGGACATAAAGGGGACCAAGCTCACAGCTACTGATCCCGGGCTGCTTGGTGCTTGTTTACCTGTGCCGCAACCTGTGCTGAATGCACTGTACAATTCTGGGCCAATCCCATGCATCTGTCAGCTGAAAAGGCGAGGGTGAGGTGCTTTGCAGATCGATCGTTTTTTTTTCAGTAGTTTACGTTAACAGAAACAGGGTTGCTTTCTAAGCCACATTGGATATGGCAGGGACCAGGGTTCGGTTGGGAATGTAACTGTTTTGCTGTAGTCTGATATCTAGCTGAAAATAGGTGCTCATCGATGTTGATGTGAGCGTTTCATAAATTGATGAACACCTAAATAGCACATCCTCTTAATCACTTCGATTTATGTGTCAGGGCACTGAACGCAACTTGATGCACGCCGTCCACATCTGCAGTTGACGTAATTCCGCCAGTTTTAGATGATTATAAAACGCTACTTAACCGCAAAACTGGGCCAAGGATCGGAGTGGTAAGGGGCTGGAGGTGCGCACTGTCTCTCGACATTTCTGGGAAACCGTACGTTAATGTATTTTTATCATGTAGGGTACTTGACCCTCCCACTTTTGTGGTACTTCTCCGCCCCTGGGCTTTAATCTTGGTATGCCAGTAGCCTGAGCTGTGCAATGTAGTCTGGAGGGGAAGGCTGACTATGGGCAAAACCTTGCTGTTAACTTAAAGTGCTGTTCCCAGACATGTGCCTGGATCCTCATAAAAGATGCCCAGATTCTAAAGGGTCCTTCGCCGAAAGAACACAGGAATGTCGGATCCCAAAGCATGGCAAAATACGAAAATGATCCTGGGCCCCAAAAGATCTTTCAACAACACCAGAGAAAGATCAAGGTCCTGGAAACCCCTTCGAGTAAACTGTAACTTGATCCTGGATCTAACAAGCTCTGTCTACAAAATTTGAAAATGGGCCCTGGACCACGTCAGATCCAAGCTGAGGGACTCATGAATCCAACCACGCGGTCCATTTCTGAGGTTTTCAGGACAGCAGTAGCTTCTCGGTCTGGCACATCTGACTGCCCTAGGCATGCAGGCATTTTGTCAGGCTGCGAGCTTCAAAAGTCCGGGGTTTTGGGCGCCAGCAAACGTGGGAACTTATGTTGCACATGCTGCAAAAGCGACTATATAGTCGCCAAAATACAGTACAAGGACAACTGAACACCTCGCATTTCGAAAACCACCATTGTGACTACAGGCAAGATCAAATTTTTGAGTTTTGGGACACAAGGTAAGTGAAAGAAAGGATACGAAATTGTTTACTCCAATGGTAAGAACGCATTCAAATTGTTGAACTGTTGCGAGTTTGACAAGGAGTTATACATACACAGGCATTCTATCTCAATATATTGTCAATTTTGGTCACTGCTGGCTGAAAGCTGTCTCAATCTGCAGCCAATGACTGAACCGTCAACACATGATTTTAGTGCTAAATTTTCACGAATACTTAGAAGAAGGTGCTATGAATATTTGAAACTTGCATTAATGTAAGCTTTCGGGTGGGTTGAGTCAAGCTCAGCAGTGGTGGAACAGGCTGCTGGATAAGATACGTATGGACATGTTCCATGAACGAGGTACGTGGGTGTTGCAGTGCAGGATCAGAGCATGGACCAGATGTCGTTAACTTCATCGAGCTGTTTGCTTGCTTTGCTTTTTGTCTATCACCTTTCATGCATTTCTAGTTGAAGTGCGTAACACATAGTTATTTGCGGGTCATTTTTTACCGGAGGGAAGGTTACAGAATGACCTTTTCTCACCGAATATCAGTATGCCATGGATCTACTTACCCATCACCAAAGGTCAATGCAGCCAATAACATGTTATGGCAAAGATTTGGAGTGTATTGCTGTATTGGCAGTCTGTTGCAAGTGTACTGCACGCGTTCCGGAAAATGACGTCATTGCGGTGGCTTGATATTGACCTAAAAAGTGTGAAGAACTTTTCTCGAATGAGCCTGGAAACGCTTCGAAACCAAAATTATAGTGAAATATTGGATGCCAGAATCTTTCGATACATTTATAACGGAGATTCAAAGACCCTGGAAAATGTTTTGGCACAATTATAGGAAAAAATCAAGGCCTGAGAAGATTTTCTGGCAAAATTATGACGTGGAATTTGACCTCAGAAAGCATTTTGATAAAACTTCGAAATAAACCATCAATCATGGCGGATAAGGGATCGATGAATAAAATATTCGACTCCGGAACCCATGTCCGGAATCCGGGTACGCGTCTGGCTGTTGTATCTTAACATTTGAGAACACCAATACTACGTCGTGACATATGCTAGGGTGCCTGTCCTCCTGCCGTGCGTTTTTGACAGCCTTTCTCACATTAAGGGTAGTATATGCTCAGAGATCACATCATGCATGAAAGCCCTTCTCGCATTAGGGGTAGTGTATGCTCAGAGACCTCACCGTGCCTGAAAGCGGGTCAATGTCAAAGTTTATTTGCAACTTAGAAAGGTCGACAGAGAGATCAAACGGGTCGATTTTGGCATCACCTGTTTGGCGGCACTTCTGGGAATGCATGACAGTTTCTTCGCTCCTGGTCATAAACATTTCCTTCAAAGGGTAATTGACCCGCCCACGATTCTTGCGCATTGAGCCCTGTAGCGCATCCCGTTCTAGGGTTTGCTGGAGCGTAGCTTTACGATTGTTTTAAAATCAAACCACTAAAGGTACACACCTGACGGATTGAGATGCAGTGTGCTTTGAGGGCGAAACTAAAACCATGTTTTTGGTAACCTGATGAATAAAAATAATGGATGTGCGCCGTATAACCATGGAATTAGTAATTCACACCTTAAATGTGTTTAAGAGCCTGCACCTAAATTGTCGTGAAAACAACGGAACGGAAGGGAATCAGAGAAAACCCAGCAACACGTTGCAGGATTGGTCAGAAACTTTATAGCCGCTGCCCAAATTACATAGTAGTGCCGCCCCCGTTATCACGCCCCACCTCATTGACCGTAAGATGTTAAATTTTGGACATATCTTATCCCTAGACCGGCCGAGATCGGGCCTATGAGCGCCCATGTCAGCAGCCGGTCCCGAGCGCCGCGGCCGCCCCAAGCCCGGTCCGGTCCGGTCCGGCCCGGCCGGCCAGCCCCAGAGGCCGGCCTGGCAGAACAAAGGGCTGGGCGGTCCGGTCACCCCGCTCGGCCGGGGCCGCCTGGCCAATGTCGCCGTTTTTGCCGGCGTCGCTGGTCGCTGTCATAAGATCGGCTCGGGACGGACTGGGCACAGCGGCGGGACACGCACCCCTCGCCCCCGGCGCTGTCTGGCCGAGAACGCCTGAGGGCTGACGTCTGCGCCGTGTGCATCACTCACAGGCATTCATGCGTCACACGCATCGGGGCGGGAGCAGTTTTGTGATTTGGACTGGGAGGCACGTGGAGCTGCGCAATGCGCCCACGTTGTTCTCGTCTACTTGTGGGATTTTGGTATACCGCG